CCTCCTCCTCCTCCTCCTCCTCCTCCTCCTCCTCCTCCTCCTCCTCCTCCTCCTCCTCCCTATCCTCATGGGCGTGGCCTGGGCCCCCGTGGCCGATGTACGCCCCCAGATGGGGACATGGGGGCCGTTGCCTTCGGGCTTCGATGGGGCAGATCCCCGAGGGGGGCGGCGGGATGGTGAGGGTCCGGATGGGGATAGGTGATGGGGATCGGGGTCGGTTAAGCGGTACCGGTTGACGCTGCTGCTCCAGGAAGCCTGGGGTGGGGGCTTCTCTTCGCCACTCTGCGCACCCTTGGCACTCTGCCCACTCTACGAGCTTTCTGCCCTGATCTTTGCACAGCATAAACAATATCTCTGAACTGATGCTCCCGTCTTCGTTTCTTTATCCGTTTCCGATGGACGGCTTCTACAATCTTACCTATTTGCGCGACACCCTTGCCCACCCTTTTTCGACCAATTGCTTCAATGATTGCCCCAAGAGGGCCTGGAAATATCATCAGGGAGGCTCAGAACGAGTACCAACATTTGTTCGAAAACGTCTGCAAGAGATCACTGGATATCGTCAAGCTCAACATTTCGATGAGTGTTTCGTTCGTGCTCGCCCACGTCCCTTCTCATGACAACTCGCCTTAAAAACGGCTCTGGATAGGCTGGGGGAGGATACGCGAATACTCGGAATATGAGCAGCATGGATGAACCAATCGCCTGTGTATCCTGAAGATGGCAAAACGGGTAGACACACCAGTAGCAAGACTACCACCCCGTGGATTCAAAAGTGGTGATCGGCACTATGGCACGGAACAACCCCTGGGTCTTGGCCAATCGGAAAAAAACTCAAGCTTCGACCTTCGATCGGTCCCAAGAAACTTCCGGACAGAGTCATGACCCGAATGGAGAAACGGCGACGCAGGGGTGGTCCACGCCGAGCGTTTTTGCGCAATGACCGCCGCCAGCCCGCAAAATCATGTCTCTTTTACATGTTTTGTCCACGCGCCATACTAGCGCACGCGTCGGAAGCAAGGCGCTGGAGACTGCCCGCGCCGAACGCTTTTTGTAACCACCGCCGCCAGCGCGCTGAAGCACGTCTCTTTTGCATGTTTTGTCCACGCTCCACACTGGCACGCGCGTCGGGACGCTGGACACTGTCCACGCCGAGCGTTTTTGGCAATGACCGCTGCCAGCCCGCAAAATCACGTCACTTTCGCATGTTTTGTCCACGCGCCATACTAGCGCACGCGTCGGAACCGGGGCGCTGGAGACTGCCCGCGCCGAGCGTTTTTTGTAACCACCGCCGCCAACGCGCTGAATTACGTCTTCTTCGCATGTTCCGTCTACGCTCCACACTGGCACGCGCGTCGGTGCGCTGGAGACTGTCCACGCCGAGCGTTTTTTTGCAATGACCGCCGCCAGCCCGCTAAATCATATCTCTTTTGCATGTTTTGTCCAGGCGCCATACTAGCGCACGCGTCGGAAGCAAGGCGCTGGTGACTGCCCGCGCCGAGCGTTTTTTCTGTAACCACCGCCGCCAGCGCGCTGAATCACGTCTCTTTTGCATGTTCCGTCTACGCTCCACACTGGCACGCGCGTCGGAACGCTGGACACTGTCCACGCCGAGCGTTTTTGCGCAATGACCGCCGCCAGCCCGCAAAATCACGTCACTTTCGCATGTTTTGTCCACGCGCCATACTAGCGCACGCGTCGGAACCAAGGCGCTGGAGACTGCCCGCGCCGAGCGTTTTTTGTAACCACCGCCGCCAGCGCGCTGAATCACGTCTCTTGTACATGTTTTGTCCACGCTCCACACTGGCACGCGCGTCGGAACGCTGGAGGCTACCCACGCCGAACGTTTTTTGCAATGGCCGCCGCCGGCGCGCTGAATCACGTCTCTTTTGCATGTTGTCCACGCGCCATACTAGCGCACGCGTCGAAACCGGGACGCTGGAGACTGCCCGCGCCGAGTGTTTCTTGTAACCACCCCCTGGATTAAAAAAAAGGTGATCGGCACTATGGCACGGAACAGCCCCAGGGTCTTGGCCAATCGGAAAAAATTCAAGCTTCAAACTTCGATCAGTCCCTAATAACTTTCAGACAGAGCCGTGACCCGAACGGAGGAACGGCGACGCAGGGGTGGACGAGACGCGCGGTTGTTAGAACAGCCCAAACGAAATCGCAACTAGTTGGTGGCGTGAAAAGCGGTCGGGAAATTCCCTGCGAGGAAACTCAGGCGATATCGCCGCTCTCAAGCTGCATGAAGATTTTTTTTTTTTTTTTTTTTTTCTTTCTGCGGACGTCCCACGCAAAATCGCCATTTTCAGATGCCGCGGCAAATTTTCAGATCGCCCTGGAAGAACTGTGTCTTCCTCGATCCCCACGGTCTCCACTTTTTAATCCAGCGGATTGTAGGAGGAGCCCCAATGCCAGACGCACTATATTATCTCACCCGAATCACAGATTGCAGCTCGACTCGTCCTGTTGGTGCCTTTCGCTCTAACGCGCCAGTCAGATGCCTGTCTGCGTGGACACCCAAAATTTGGAATGTGCTGTCTGGATGTGTAACCCATATGGTGGAAGCTACGGGGTGGAAGCCATGCGGTGTAGTTATTATGTTGTAAGGTCAAGAATTGTCACCGCCACTGCTCGCGCAATCATCCCAACCTCCGACTCGTTACCTCTTTGGCAAAACCCATGCGGCCACGATTGCGGTTGCCGATTGTCACTTGCTTGCGCATCTCTGCGGCCGCGCTGGCGCGCGAATGCTCGCGCGCAGGGCGACAAACTGGCTCGGGTACTTCAGTACGTGTCGGCGACTCGGGCGGGCACGGTATCACAATAACGTCAACGACAACGGCGGCACATACGATGAATCGTAGCGATAGTGTTGACGATGATGCCGACGACGATGACGACGGCTAGGCCAATGATGGCGCCGATGCTGGTAACGACGATGACGAGATGACGTCCATGTGCCAGTGATGAAGGTAGTTGCGCTTATGATGGCGGCAATGGCGGCCATTGGCGATGACGATGACGACAGTGATGCAATGGCGCTGATGATTGTGATGATGAGTAAGTGCGCGCGCAGAAATTAAACAAATCGGACTTCGTTCCTTTAGAAAGCTGCTGGCCTTCCATGTGTTTTTGAGCACGCTATCTTGAGATGCGTCGGAAGCTAGTGGTTTTTAGTGGTTTTGAAAAGACTTCGGCACGCCTGCATGGTGGCGCGCTTGTGGTCCACATGGAGCTATTTGCTGCGGTATCGTGCGCTGAGCGCAGGCGATATCAACGTACGTAGATGCACCGTGTGCTGAGACGTTGATGATGATATTATGAACGAGATTGGCGCAAGTTATGGATTGCTATCTGTGGGGTGCAAAAGCCGCAGCCTACCTAGCGCAATGCATGCGGTGCAAACTATGTTCTGGACGCTATGTAGTGCTCGATACGTGGTGCAACCAACGCATGGGGCGCCCACGAGGCGCCCTTGGCCGTCGATCAGGCGAGCAACTCGGGAACGTGCGCCGATTCCTAAGAGTAGAAACAAGAACCCCTAGGTGTAAGCCTGTTTGGGGGACTAGCACTACTACAAACATGTCTTGGAGCAAATCGTTGCAATAATGGGACAATGCAGGTGGTCGTTCTGACAATTATGCTCGTCGGGATGGTTGTGCGAATAGTGCAGTACGAGCCGTCGCAATAGTAGACCCAGCAGTTACAACACCCCTGGACGGAACTGGCGCTGGTGCGAAAGGACGATTCCGAATCCGGGATGTGATCTGCGCTGAGGCCCGAGCACCATTCCTAAGTAGGGATGTTGTCCGCGTTTCGGCGGGAGACCCATTCCGACACTCATGTTGTTGGAATGTTCTTGTCGCGTTCATCTCGGGTGAGCTGGTTGTCACCAGCGTTTGGGTGGGGCGAGGTGGGTAGGCCATAGGCCAAGTCAGGGGGGGGGGCAGCAGTAGCGCCAGTACCAGAATCAGTGCTCACACGCAGTGGTTAGTTGCAGCAAGCATAGACAGACCGCTGTAGAAGACGTGCCCGTTCCAAAAGTGGGGGCGACAGCGGCCGCGGCACCAGTACCAGTGCCTCGGAGCAGTACGCAGTGGTTAGACGCAGTGGTTAGTTGCAGCAAGCATAGACAGACCGCTGTAGAAGACGTGCCCGTTCCAAAAGTGGGGGCGACAGCGGCCGCGGCACCAGTACCAGTGCCTCGGAGCAGGGCGAATTGCGCCAACGGCATCTCGAAAGAGATCCCTGGACCCTGACCCCTACCGGGCCCAAACGCACCTGCTTTCCCCGAGCTACGTCCAGCCGTGGCGACGATGGACTCGCCCTCCTCTGAGTCGGGAGCGGCCAAGAGGGGGATGTCCAAGAGGGGGGGGTGCAAATCATGACCGGCGGCACGAGCGCGGCCCAGCGGGGGGGCCAGGGACGTAATGAAATAAGAAGAGGCGCCACGAAATTCGGATCGGGCAAGGGGGGGGGATAGCAAAGGGGAGGTTTGAGAATCAGCTCACATAGCTGATTTTCCCATCGCCTCCCGGCGCCGGAGGCGGCTATGTATCGAGGAATGGGCCCCTCGGTGAGGCCGAAACCAGCTGCATGCAGCAAATTCCGTAACCCCCCCTTTCCCAGCCCCCCCCCTTTCGTCCGGCCCGAGAAATCTGGGAAAATATAATGGCCCACGCCATGATATCCACCTCTTCTGAGCGGCGGCAGCGGCCAAGAGCAGCTGCACTTCTGCTCCGCGCTCGGCCGCGTGGGCGCTCCGCGCCGGGCCAGGCCCGGAAATGCGCGAGCCGCTCCGAGGAGCGCGCCGCGGCCGCTGCTCCGCGGCCGGCCTGGGCCTGGGCGGGGCCCCGGGGCGCCACCCGCCCCGAGAGCGCTCCGCCCGAGCCGGGGCCAGCCGCATCACGTCAGGCGGCGCCGCCGCCCGCCCCACGGGCAGCCCGGCCGCCCGGGCGAGGCATGCGCTTCTCGCCCCGCGCGGCACGGCCCGGCTAGACGCAGCAGGTCGCACTCCGCTGGCACCCGTGCTTCACGGCGCCCCTCGCCGCCTCCGCCCTGCTCTCCCGCCGGAGCTCCTCCAGCCGGCGCAGCACGTCGCTGTCGCTGCGGCCCCGGGCGAGGAAGCGCTCCCGGCCGCCGCTCGCCTCGGCCCGGGCCGCTGCGGGGTCCGCGGCGGGGGCCACGCGCCAGCACAGCGGCCACAGGCTGTTCGCGAGGACGACGAGCAGAGTGCCGTTGTCCATGACGACGCTCAGCCACAGCGGCAGGCCGTGCAAGGCCGCCACGGCCATCACCGCGGCATTCATGAGGAGGGCAATGGCGACGTTCACCATCACCAGCCGCCGCGAGCGCCGCGCTATCACGATGGCCGCGGGGATATTCCCGATGTTTCCCTGGAGGATCGCGGCTGCCGCGTCCGCCAGCGCCTGGGAGCCGACCTCCTGAACGGCGATGCCCACGCTGGCGCTGGCAAGCGCGGGACAATCATTGAGGCCGTCGCCCACGAAGCCCACCTCCACGGTCGCCTTGATGAGTCCCTCCTCGAGATCTGCTGAGGACGCCTTGTTAGCGACGTGCCTACCACGGCGTTCCGTGCTGCTAGCCTGCAGAACTAGCCGGGCCTTGTCGGAAGGGAGGAGGCCCGCATGGACCCGTGGTCGATCGGTCGCCCTACAGGAGGCAGGTGGGGGCCAAGAGAATTCAGAAGTCTACCCTCCCTGGGCAATAGTTGGCTGTGAGCGGCCGTCTCAAAGGGCAGAGGGCTTCTTTCGGGCACGCCTAAACCGGACCCACGACAGAGGTCACCTTTGGTGCGGCTTGCAGATCGCTGCCCGAGATGCGACAGCAGGGTAGAAACCTGCGTGCTCAGGTGTGGGCAACCCGCGCCCCCTGGAAGCCGCGGCGCACCAAGGATCACTCCATCGGAGGGTCCCCCTTGGGCGTATCGGGGAGCGTCCAGGAGGAGGCCGTCCAGGAGGGGGGGTTCACAGACTGTGGCCCGAGGCATGTGCGCGGCCCAGGCTCTGAAATTCGCCGGCCCAACGGGCAAGAGGCGTGCAACATCCTCAGCAACAAGTTCAGAATGCTTCTGGCTCGCGCGCGCGTGGCAGCCCCTGGGCGGAGGAGGAGGAGGAGGAGGAGGAGGAGGAGAAGGAGGAAGAGGAGGAAGCGGGCACTTCTCGGCGGGGCCCTGCGCCGCACTCCCGCCGGTCACTAATGCCGGAACTCCTCGGCGCGGCCCTGCGGGTCCTCAGAAGCGCCCTGGGAGCGCCCCAAGGAGGCGCCAAGTAGGCAGCGAGCCCCATGGCCTCAGGCAAGGCGTGCTCCAAAACAACCCAATCTGGCTTCAAGACGGCAGGGCTTGAGGGGCGCTCAAAACCGCCCAAGAGGGCTCCAAGAAGAATCCAAGAGGGCCCCAAGAAGCAAACATCAATGGTTTTGCTTTCGTTTTTCAGGATATTGGCATTTCCGCCTTTTCGGGCGTCCGACCGTCCAAGACGGTCCAAGAGGTCCCCAAGATCGCCCCACGTCAACCCAAGAGGCCCACAAGATGGCCCCAAGACGTTCCAAGAGGGCCTCAAGACTACCCGGGAGGCCCTCCGAGAGGGTTCCAGAGGCTCCCAAAAGGACCGCAAGAAGGGGAATCCGAACTGACATGTCGAACCCTCTCAAGAAGATGGCCACCGAGACCTCCAGCAGGCGCCTAAGAGCTTCCCAGGAAGCTCCTTGAGGCCCGCGAGACCCCCCCAAGGCCCAAAGAGGCCCCAGGAGGTCCCAATCATACTGCCAAGAGGTCCCCCGACATGCCTCCCAAGAGACCACAGGAAACCTCCCAAAGAGAGGCGTTTTGTCCGCGACTCAGCTTGGAAATGAGAATGCCTGAAGAAGCCATCGAGATGCCCCTCTTCCTCCTACTCCTCCTTTACGCTTGCCGCGAGCACGCCCAATTATGGCACACATGATACACTTCGGGCCTGCGGAATTAGCGAAACGATTGAATTCGGCGGGCCCCCTGCGGGCCTTGGCCGTGTTGTAACCTCGGAGGGCAAACGTACACATACGCGACGGATCTGCGCCCCGAAGGCTACGAAGCTCTCGATACGGAACACACGCCACGCATTTCCTGTCCCATCCTACTTGTGGGCTCCCTGGCGGCCCATGGCGTGGGGTCCCTGGCGGCCCATACATGTGTATATATGCGTGTATATATATGTATATATATATATATGTATACGCTAGAACCATCGCGCGCGCTTCGCGCGAGGACCCTCGTAATCGTCACCATCGCCATCCTCATCGCCATCATCTTCATCGTCATCGTCATCCACATTGTCATCACCTTCACAATCACCATCAACACCATCATCACCACCACCACCATCAGCAACACCATCGTCATCACCGTTGTCATCATCGCAATCGTCATCATCGTCATTATCGTCACCCGCATCTCCATCATCACCGTCATCCTCGTCATTATCATCATCATCGTCGTCGTCGTCGTCGTCACCATCGCCATCGTCATCGCCATCATCGTCGTCGTCTTTGTCGTCGTCGTCCTCGCCCTCAGCATCCATCCCCAAGACCGAAAGTCTTGGTAACTGGGGTTGTGGACCTGAGGCCGCCATGCCTGGGTATGTGCCAGTGGCCTGCTGGATGCCTGTTCGGATATGGGTGGTGGATTTTTTTCGGAGGCCTCTTGGGGAGCTCTGGGGGGGCTCTTGGGTACTTCGTGGTTGCCTCTTGGGGCCCCTTGGGAGTCTCCTGAGGGCCTCGTGGACGCCTCTTGGGGCTTCCTGGGGGCCTCTGGAGGGCCTTTTGGGGCCTCCTGGGGGCTTCTTCGGGTCCTCTATTGGGCGAGGGCTGGAGATGTCGGTTTGTGTTCCCCCTGTGTCATAGAACCACGCGTGCGCGTCGCGTGCGCTTAGGTTCTTGTCGATTCTGGACACGGCTTCAATATCCAAGCGAGTTGTCCCGTGGGGCATTGAAGGTCCCTCCCGTTGACGTATAGTTGATGTTTGGCCGGGTACTGCGAAACACAAGGTTGGACTGTACCATACAACTCTGGATTCGAAGCCGTCACGATCGGAGCGGTGCAATCGCTGGCACGTTCAACCGTCGTATAATGCTACGTGCCTTGTGGTATGGCTTCTGTACTATGCCAATGGGCCCTCCACTCTCCTGTGTGCGCCTCCCTGCGTGATTCGCCTCCTGTTCTCGAGGCTCTGTCGGCGCCCAGACATGTCTCGGCGCTCTTGAAACCGCCTGGTGTGCCCAACATGGCTCCGCAGACGGACCTGGGAGGCCTCCTCAGCCGCCAAAATGGCTCATGATGCCTCCAGACGGCCCAAGAAGTTCCAAAGAAACACAAGTATTGATTTCCAATACGTCTTCGATGCTTGTTACGATCTCGTTTTTTCGACCTTCTGGCGCTCCAAGACGGCCCCAGAGCCCTGCAAGACCGCCCCAAAACGGCTCAAGAGGCCCCCAAGAGGGTCCTAAGATGGCCCAGGAGGGCCCCAAAACGGTCTGAGAGGTTTCGACGACAGCCCAAGGGAGACCCTAGCCGGCCCCAAAAACTGCCCAAGAGGGGAAACATCAACCGATTTTTGGAGCCTTCCGGCCGTAGAGGCTCCGGGGAGGCCCGAGAAGGTCCGAAGAAGCCCAACAGGGTCCGCAGGGGCCTCCAAGAGGCTCCCCTTCGGCCCCCAGAAGGCATCAAAACTGCCTCCAACAGGGTCCCGAGAGGTCTCTCACGATTACTCAACGATCATTATCATCATCATCATCATCATCATCATCATCATCATCATCATCATCATCATCATCATCATCATCATCATCAGCATCATCATCATCATCATCAGCATCAGCATCGCCACCACCATCATCACCACCATCACCACCACCATCACTATCATCATCATCATCATCATCATCATCCTCATCCTCATCCTCATCCTCATCCTCATCCTCATCCTCATCATCCTCATCATCATCAGCATCACCATCATTATCTTTTTCATCATCATCATCATCAGCATCATCATCATCATCATCATCACCAACACCACGACCACCATCGTCGTCGTCGTTTCGTCGTCATCGTCACCATGATGATTATCATCAGCATCATCACCATCATCAACAGCACCATCGTCGTCATCGTCATCGTCATCGTCATCGGCATCGTCATCACCACCATCATCAGTAGCAGCATCATCATGAACACCATCACCATCTGCACCATGATCATCACCATGGTCATAAACAACATCATCGTCGTGGGCATCATCATCATCAGCATCATCATCATATCATCATTATCATTATGCACATCAGCATCCACACAATCATTATCCTCCGCATCTTCATCTTCCTCATCGTCATCAGCGTGGTCGTGGATATCTTCACCAGCATTATCACAACCATCACGATCACCATTCCCATCATCATTGTCACTTTCGTCATTATCATCGCCATCATCAGCATCTTGTGGGGCTTCTAGGAAATTTACTTGAGGGCCCATTCGAGTCCTGCTTGACAGGCGCTTTGGGACAGATGATGCGCGCGGGCAGCGGAAGCCTGAGGAATCATATAATCGGAGAACTTTCTGGTAACATGATGGCGTGTATGAGGGCCCATTGGGGGACTGCCCAACAAACATTTTGGGACGCATGGTTGGGGCCGGGGGCGGAAGCCTGAGCAATCATGTCCCCGGAAGGCTTCCTGGGAACATGATTTATTGGGGTGTCGTTGGGCGCCTCCGGAGGCTTCGGGGCCTGACGCGTTTCCAAGCGTGGCGGCAGGTAGGGCTGCTTGGGACTCTCGGTTTTGTTTTCCTGGCAGGCGTTTATGGAACATGGTTTGGGCAGAGGGCGGCAACCCGAGAATCACATTCCCGGGAAGCTGTCCAGGAGCATGATTTGCTCGGCTCTTTTAAGAGGGGGCTTACCGAGGGGCCCCTTTTGGCCTTGTCGGCAAGCCTATTGGAAACATGGTTGGGGCAGTGGGCGAAAGCCCAAGGAATCATGTTCCCAAAAAGCTCTCTGGGAAATACGATTTACCGAGGTGTCTTGGGGGCCCGCAGAGGGGCTTCCCTGGGGGCCCCTTGGGGGCCTATTGGGGCTTCGGGGGGGCCTGTTGGGAGCCTCACGGGGCTTCTGGAGAGCCTCGTGATGGACTCTGGGGGCGTTCTACGAGGCTCTCAGGCCGCAGACCTTGAAATGTCGTGCTCTTCGGGCCCTCTTGGGTCGCTCTTGGGGCTCTCTTGGGGCGCTCTCGAGGCCCTCTTGAATTATCTGGGGCCTTCTGGGCCATCTCTGGGCTTTGTTGGGAGCCTCGTCGACCGTCTTGGAGCGATCTCAAGGGCCTCTGACGCCGTCCGGGACAGTGGGGAGGCGGAACATGCGAGAGCGCAAATATGCTTCAAAACCATAGGACAATTATGATTTTCGGCTTCTGGGGCCCTTTGGAGAGGCCTCTGGAGGCGCTCTTGGGGCGTTTTGGCGGCGTCGTCGGCCGTCCTGAGGCCATCTTCGGCGTGTCCGGGGCCTCTTGGGGCTGCCTTGGCAACATTTGGAGCCCTCTTGGAGTGTCGTGGCGTGTTTGGGAGCGAGCCCGGGCAGTCCCGGCCCGGGCCCCCCCAGGCCTACTCCGATATATATATATATATATATATATATATATATATATATATATATATATATACATATATGTACACACCCAGATGCACCGCCTGCCAAGGTCCCCGAAGATCGATTCCCGAGGCGGTGGTGATGGACAGATCCCAGTCTCAGAGCTCTGGCCAGGGAGAGCCTGCTCGCGGACTCCACCCCCCCTGGCCCCAGGCTGTAGGCCATCGACTGCTTTTACCCACAGCCCCGCTCGCGCCCCCACACACACAAGGAGCGGGAGTGGGGGGCACGGTTGAAGCCTGTCCATCCTCCACTGTCCCCCTGGCAGCCAAAGGTTGGAGGAGGCAGCCGTCGGGGTATCCATGGATAAAGCGTGGATCGCCGAAACCGAGACGTCGTGCTTCTCCGCGTCGCGAGGTCCAGGAGCTCTCGACCCCCTCGCCTGGGCCCGCTGTTCTCCTGCCGGCCATGCTGTGGATGACACCAGGGGCCCTGGGACACACAAATACATACACACAAATCAAAAGATTCCCCCTATTTTCCCATATCTTCTGGGTTTCTGGCTTCCCCCCCACTGCCCACATTTTCCCATATTCTCTGGGGAATCGGCGATTCATTGTGTCTGTGTGCTTTTTTCCCTCCTGAATGAAGCGGCCCCGAGGCCCGGGATCTGCACACACACAGGGGCCTCCCAGAGGGGGTCCGAGCAGTTGGGGGTCGGAGGACACATCACCGACGCATCGGCGCCGTCGGCGCTGAGAAAATCGGAGATGCGGCGCGACCCCGCGATCGGCATCGGCGCCGTCGGCGCTGAGAAAATCGGGCTCCACATCGATCCGCATCGGCGATGCGGCGCGACCTTCCGACCCCATCTACTCGGACCCCATCTGGGAGGCCTAGACACATAAGGACGTAATGACTTTTGTCACCACACCCGAGCTTTGAAGCCTCCAAGAGCCTCGCGGAGGTCTCTGCAAAGGCCTCTGGAGGTTCCTCAAGTCTCCAAGAGCCGCCCCAGGCTTCCTGCAGGGCCTGCCGCAGCTGCAGGCTTCCAGAACGAACACAGCAGCTCTAGATCTTGAAAACCAACCGCCCGTCGTGACTTCTGACTCCTGGCGCCCATGAGCTCAGAGATGGCCCGCGCGACCACGGGCATGGACCGTCTCGATCCCGGCGGCGGCAGCAGCTCGTCTCCCCGCCTCCTCAGGGGAGGGCGCCAATCGGGGGTGGACAGAGCCACCTTTCGCAGAGCACCCTTCAATGAAAACATCCTGGGGAACAGACCCCGCGGGCGAAAGCCCGCAGAAACGGCGGCGGCGACACACCACCGAGAAGACAGCGCCAGACCACCGGGCGGATTCGCGAATCGACTCGCAGGGTGGGGGCCCTATCGGCCCGCGAGCCACAGAGGTCCCCGAAGGAGGGGGAGGCAGGGTGGAGTGAGGAGAAGGAGGAGAACGAGGCCGGGGGCGGGAGAGAGGCAGCGAGGGAGGGAGGGAGGAGGAGGGGGCATATGGAGGGGGAGGAAGGAGGAGGGGGCAGAGGGGAAGGAGGGAAACCAAACGTTTGCCACCGTACCCTCTGGCTCACTGGGCCGTGGCAGAATGCCATGGTGCTGTGTGGTAACACTTCTGTAACTCTTCGGAGGCCCTTCCCCCTCTCGATGCGCCTACCCATGTGCATTGCCCACCCCCTCCCGAGGCTTCCTGGGCCACGTTGACACCTCCCTGGGGGTCTCGAAACTTATCAAGGACTTCCAAAGACAATCGAGGAAGGCAACCAAAGACGCCAAGATGAAACAACAGTGCCTCTAGAAGCATCCGGCAGCTTCCAAGAAACGAACAACGGATCCCACGAGGCCTTCGACAACTCCCAGACGTCCCTCAAATACTCTCCAGGAGGCCCTCGAGAGACAAACAGAAGTGATGTGTCGTGTTGTCCATGGTGCTCCAGGCGAGGGCTCTGGCAGGTGTTCTTTTTCAGTGGGCAAACTTGTTGGTCCTAGACTGCAAATGTGTCGAGCAGGTGCCGTCGGAGATTGGGCACGCAAGACAGGTGTGCGACAAGGGTGGGAGGGTGGGATCTAGCATGCGTCTGGGTACGCATGCGTGTGGCGCGTGGTTTCAGACGTTTTTTTCGGGGGGGGGGGGGGCGCAACAAGGACCCACGGGTGGAATGTCGAACATGGCGTCCACGGGTCCTTCGCGCGTGAGAAGACGGGCGCGGGGGGGGGGGGCATCCATTGTGTCTGGCGCGCGCGCATTTGAAACATTTGGCACGTGTCTTCACGCGTCACAATCCCAGGGAGATGACGAACATGCGGTAATCAAAATTGCGCGGACGAGGGTCTCCAACAATGCATTCGTCCTGGCGCGTGCGATTTGGACTGTGTGCTTCAAGTGTCCAGATCCCGCAGGTGGATGTCGGAGGTGGATGTCGGTCATACGGCCGGAATATTGCTCACACGTGCAAGTGCGTCCACGGAGATGGTGTTGAAGGTTCGCCTTCCGCATGCGCACTTGGCACAGGATATCACGCGGCCAAGCCTCGTCGGGATGGCAGACATGCGGTCGTCGGCTTCTTCACACGTGAGGATCTGTGCGAAGAGGGGTGTATCGAGAATGCGGTCGGCGGATTCTTCGTGCGCAAAAATGCAGCTCGCGAGGTATCCGGCAAGCGTCTGGCATGAGCGCGGTGTTGAATGACCTATCCCGTGTACAAGCCCCGAAGGAACGGTCGAACGTGCGGTCGTCGCATTCTTCACGCCCAGAAATACATGCACGCAAGTGGGGATTCAATGCGCGTCTCGCGCGTGGGAAGTAGGACGCGTGTTCTCACGCGCCCAGGCCTCCAGGGGGATGTCGAACACGCGGTCGGCGAACCCTTCGAACACGCACCTACGTCGGCGGAGAAGGGGGGTCCAACACGTGCTTGGCGCGTTCGCATTTGGCGCGTTCCAAAGAGACGTCAAGCATACGGTCGGCAGATTTCCTCACACGTTCAAAAACATGCGCGTAGGGGTGCTATCCACCATGCGTCTGGCGCGTGCGCACATGGCACGAATTTGCTCATGTCCATGCGGGATGTCGAACATGCGGTGGTCAAGTTCTCCACCTGTGAGAATGCGCGCATGGAGGAGGGGTACTCAACACGCGTCTGGCGCGTGCGGTTTTGGAACATGGGTCGACATGCCCAAAACCAAAAATAATGACGAACATGCACGCGTGAAAATACTTGTACGGAATTCAAAGGAAGAGTTGGCATTAACATATTAAATGTTCGGGGCTTGGCTCGGAATTCCTGAAACTGCGCTGAACCCCCGCGGCGCCGAAGGCGTCGCCGGGGGGGCCCAACGCCGATCCAAGACATCCGCACAGAAGTTCGAAAACGTCTGCTTATGCCGTTGTTTGGGATGCCGAAGGACATAATAGTGCTACGTTTCCTCATCGGAGGCGCGCGTCCGACCCCGACATGTAGTGCATCCATCGTGTAGTATATCGTTTCTCGAGCGGTGCGGCCAGACAGCGCCCGCCACGGAGCATGCACTACAATATTTTTCGGCGCGCATGTCGCCCCTCGTGGGGCGATGCGCACATAGTATCAGTACGTCTGGGTGGCGCCGATTGGTTCTTCTTCGGGAAGAGGGGAGGGGTACCCAACGCGCGCCTCAGCACGCACGCGCCTGGTCGCGCGTTTTCGCGCGTCCACGCCGCCCCGGAGAGGGGCGTCGGGCGTGCGACTGCCGGATGCGCCGCGCGCAGAAGTACATACGCGGCGTCGCGCGAGCACTTGGCACGCGCGTGAAGGAGTAGCGGGGAAGGGAGAAGAAGAAAAAGGAGGAGGAGGGGGGAGCAGGAGGAGCAGGAGAGAGGAAGTGAAGGGGGGAGCAGGAGAGGAGGAGCAGGAGACAGGAGGTGGAGGAGGAGGAGACAGAGGAACGATATGGGCGCTGGTTACGCGGGGGAGTGAGCGGGAGGGGACACGGCTGCAACATGTGCAACACAGGACGGTACAGCACGGGGATGGAAACGCCACAGGTAGCACAGCGCTCCATATACCATTCGGTCATACACGTCAACGCGCACGTTGGCTTAATCGCCATATCGGGCTCGTGGGCTCCTTTGCAGATGCTCGCCATCGCTCGGACGTCCATTCCCTGTGTTTTTTTTGTCGGTTTCGTGCGTGGTTGTTTCGCCAAATGAGATACTCCTCGATGTTTCCCGCCGAAGGAAAAATGCACACGTCCGAGCGATGCCAAGGATGGGGAAAAAAACACATGTTTTTGCGTCGGCGGCTAGGCAGAGTCACTGCGCTGGCGAATAGGATGGGATACAACACGCAACACACACGCAACCAAAGCCGCTCGGACCACTGCGGTGTGCAGAAAAAGCAGCACGCGGAGCGGGGCGCGCCGCCCTCGGCACACTTCCAGCGGAGAGCCGACGCGCAGTCCTCACGATGTGCACCTGTGGCGGGGGGGGCTCCCCATCGCTCGGACGTCCATTGCCTGTGTTTTTTTCGGTTTCGTGCGTGGTGTTTTCTCCAAATGATCAAGGATGCTCCTCGATGGTCCTCGCCGAAGGAAAAATGCACACGTCCGAGCGATGCCAAGGGGGTGAGGCACGGAGAGAAACCATCGGGGGGGGGGGGAGGAGGCCACCGCGGGACGCACGTCACCCGCGCCAGACCCCCTTTATCTCAATGAGCGGGCCGACCATCTTGCCGAATGTGGTGTCCCACCGACATCCGACGGTGGGCCAGACCATCGAGCTGATCTGGTTCTTTGAGGACAGGCATCCCTTGTTCATTTCATTATACCCGCGCGCCAGACCCCGTTGCAGGCGCAGGCTTGTCTGCCGAGCGCCGCTCGCGGGGTGAAGGGCGGACCGCCCTTCACCCCGCGGCCGGCCCAGCAGCACGGCAAGAGGAAGCCAGGCCCGATGCGAGGAGTTACCCATAACCGCCGCCCTGAGGCTCGATCTTCAGGGGCCTCGGCGTTTCACTCCGAGGGCCCCACTTTTGTCCACATCCACCGCCCGCCGAGGCCCTCGAAGATCGATCCCCTGGGCGGTGGTGGATCCCTGCCTCGGAGAATCGGGATAACATTTGATCGGGGTACATCCGAGATTTCTGAGGTCCGTCGGTTCCGGAGGATGCATCGGCCGCCGCGGTCGTTTCAGAGCGTCCCTCAACGCTCCGACACAGTCCCGAAACGCTCTGGAGCGATTGACCCCAGTCCTACTGGGGCCTGCCTGATACGGCCTTGCCAAAATGCCGCCCCCCCCCCCCTGGCACCCCAAAGCAAACAGGTCCTTCACCTCGAACAATGTTTGATCCGACGGCCAGGAGCCAACAAACGGCGACAGAAACCCTCAGGTCCCGCTTTCCTGACAACTCCTTCCCCTTCATGGCGACAGTTTCTTGTTCATGTTTGTGTGTTCGTTTTTGCGGAATAACATGGCCTCCTATGTAGATGGAGTCCGAGTAACTAGACTGGTCGGGGGATCGTGCCGCATCGGCGATGCATCGGCGACGTCGGCGGTGCATCGGCGACGCCAGCGCGGACGAAACCGGGCTCCACATTGGGCCGCATCGGCGATGCATCGGCGATGCGGCGCGATCCCCCGACCCCAGCTACTCGGACCTCGTTTGGGAGGTCTTGATCTTGTTCTTGGAAGCATGGACCCCCCCCGGATCCTCGTTGTCTCCGGTGAGCAACGCGGGCTGGACGCCTAGGGCCTTCAGCTGCGCCACGGCGGCCCGCGCGTCGCCCCGAACGGTGTCCTCCAGGAGCATCATGCCGCCGACGGCCTCGTGGGCAGGGGGCCACCTATCTCTGAAGACTGAACGAACGAGTACGATGCTGACTGCCTACCAGACCACCCCAACCGAACCCGCAGACCCGAACTTCAGGTTGGGGGGGTATGGGTTCCATATGTGTTTGTTTCCAATGTTCCCCGACCCCCCCACTGGAAATGGATGGTATATATACTAGATTAAGGTATTATGTGCTGTAATGTAATGATACATATATATATATATGTATAGAATGAGGCCTTCGGGTTGGGTTGGGGTGGTTTGGTGGGTGGTACGATGCCCAGCAGCACATGTTGTCCAAAACGAGCTACGGCCGCCGCTGGGCATGCGGCCTTCTGTTTCACACGGCGCATCCCGTTCAGAATTGGCAGGAAGTGCTTTCGGTCTCCCGCATGATTTCGTTGCGTTCGAAGTAGCCTGAAGTCTTCAGAAATCTTCAGAAGTAGCCACTCTTTCCGTACCCACTTCGATCCTGACGATCATTCCGCCTCTGGTCCTCTGGAGGAGGCGCCATTGGCAAGAAGAAGGCACACTGCATTGGAGCCTGCCTCGCTCCTCCTGGTTCAGAAACAAGCTAACCAGCAAGTTGGATCCAACAGCGCCTGGGGAGACTGACCCCAAGGCTACACCGAAAAACCTGGTGCACTGCCCGAGGCGGGAAGCGGATGTGGGGAAATACGACGGTACCGATACCGCCACTCCCTGGACCTTTCTTCGCGTACCTTCTGACCAGCCTTTCGAGGCGAATCCAGCGGTGGCGACGAGGGCCTGCCAGGAAGCCACACTTCAGGAAAACGGGGCAAGGGTAGCGGAATCGGCTCATTTTCCCCCTCTGAGGAGGAGGGAGGGGGCAGGATGACGTCGGTAAAGCACCAAACAACGACATAGACAAAAACGTTCAGGAACCTAGGCCGCTTTCTTGGATCGGCGCTGGGCTCGCCCTGTCGGCGTCTCCGGCACCGCCCCCGGCGCGCTTCGCGCGCCTAGGAGGGGGGCCTAGCGCCGACCCAACGAAACTGCGCGGACCTCCGAAAGTTGATGCTCATGCCGGCTCGCTCATCTGCGAGAGGAAGAACATGATCGAGGACCCCGCACATGGCCGAGGAACATCAGGGAGGGAGATGGGCATGGTCCGCCAGGCATGGTGACATAGGGTCCGCCAGTACGGTCCTCGCAGGGTCGGACCCAAGCATCTGGTGGTTTCAGAGAGCCAGCAGGTGCCACGCCCCAACACATTGGAAAACTTGGGATGACCAGTTGGCTCTGCTTCTCCGCGCATCTCCTCGTCTTCATACTGCTTCCTATGATCATCCTCGTTCTCATCACCATCATCGTCACCATCGCCATTACCCTCCTCCTCCTCCTCCTTTTCCTCCTCATCATCATCAGCATAACTATCAATATCATCAAATCATCATCTACATCATCATCATCATCATCATCATCATCATCATCATCATCATCATCACCCCCATCATCAGCATCAACATCATCAACAACACCATCATTATCATCATCAGCATCAGCATTCGCATCAACATCATCATCATCATCATCATCATCATCATCATCATCATCATCACCGTCCAACATCATTACTCATCTTTATTGATTCCCTGATCCTTCCCCCTTTCCCACTTCTCAACCTGCATCGACTCCCAAATCGTCCTCTCCACTCCTTGTCCCTCCTGCGCCTCTACCCGCCTCCTCTTCCTCCTCCTCCACCTCCTTCTTCTCTTTCTCTCCCTTCCCCTCCGCCTCTTCCGTTTCTCCCCCATTCCGTTCAATTGGTCCTCCCTCTCTTCCTCCTCCTTTTCATCTGCATCCTGACTCCTCATCCTCTTCCCTCTCCCCGTCCTCATATCGGTCGCCCCCCTCTCGTTATCCTCCCCGCTTCCCCCAAAAAAATCCGCTGTCTTGATTTTTTCGATGCAATGGCCCCGGATGTCCAGACCCTTTCTTCGGGGCCCGTTTCCTGTCCCGAATCGTTTTTTTGACGGTCCTGGGGCCCAGCGGAGGCCCCCCCGAAGCAGAAACACAAAGAAACACCGTCGTATTGAATCCTGGTGAATGCGTTGGAGGTGTTCGCCTTTGGCCTATCCCCTGCCTCGCTTCCCCTCCTCCTCCTCGTCCTCCCCCTCCTCCTCCTCCTCCTCCTCCTCCTCCTCCTCCTCCTCCTCCTCCTCCTCCTCTTCCTCCTCCTCCCCCTCCTCTGAAGCGCCCTGTCCACGGTGATGAACAGCGTCGTCCCCTGCGCCGCCCACTCGTCGGCCTGCCGCCAGTCCGCTCACGGGAAGAGGAGGAAAACGAGCGAGGATCGGCTGGAGAGGCATTTTTCTGTTTGACTCGTTCGTTGTGAGTCCATGGGTGCGACGAACCATAACCACAATAAAGACCTGCTCCGAGGAACTGGATCGTGCACTCATCTTGATGCGCGCCGCCTGCTCGAAACGGCTTCGAACAACACCAAGGACATGAATTCATTGACCATGAAAGCACCCTTGGTGGTCACCTGCTCAGGAATGAGTGAACAAGATTGCAACACTAAACGCACATATATACACATCTATATATATACACCAGAAAACCCTCGGTAGACGCATGGCCAGCATGCGGAGCAAAAAGAACTCCCTCGAAGTTGAGGCCTCCACCCCTGGTACTCGTCAGAGCTTGCACTGAAGGCTGAGCTTAAACACTAGAACCTTGGAGCGTCTCAGGATGCCGTGCGCTCGTGGCGAACATCGACCTTCAGAATGAGCCTGGTGGCAACGCTGCAATCGTGACGGTGCAGTTTGTCAGGCGCCTCGTGCACCAATCCATTAACCCTGGATGGAAAGAGCATGCCTTTAATGAAGAGAATGTTGCCAACTCCGGCGCTGCGAATTGCCTTGCGAGCTCTGATCACGTACTCGTTGGGCCCTCTGCAGATATCTGTTCGATCGATCTCGAATCTTTCGAAATCCACGAAGTCGTCGTGCACATGCACTGTCGCGGCGCAGTTGTACGACACGATTGCGCGGCCCACGTAGTTGTCCATGTGCCACCGGCCGCAGATGTTCTCCCTGGTCAGTTCCAGCTTGAGCATGAGCTCAGCGGCGTTTGGCAGAAGCCTGGCAACTACCGGGCCCGCCTCGGCTACGTCCATCCGAATCTGGGCCGCCAGGTCGGCGGGAAGCCCGTGTTGGACCAGCGGCGACAGCAGACGCTGTGCTGCAGCGTCAAGCTGGACGCCCAGCTTCGACTCCGACGCGCCGTCGAAAAGCGGAACGATCTCCATGAGACTCTCGGATTCGTCAACTACTCCAAAGTTCACAACTCTGCTGTACAGCCGGTCGAGAAAGTGCTGGGCATGGTCCCATGTCTGCGACCTGGGAACAACCATACCCCGGAACGCGTCGCACTCCGGCTTCAGCCAGTCTAGCACGCTACTACAAGTGATGACGGCATCAAGTTGGGGATCCTTGTCGTGATTGTTCACAATGTGGGGCGGGGATCTGGATCGCTCACGCCTGTCGTGGCCCACAGCAGGAGTCCGAAGGACGACCGCCATCGCAGGGTCAGAGCAGAATCCGAGGAGAGGGGCTGGCGAAAATACAAAGCAGACCTTGAGCTCGAAAACTTGAGCCAAAATGGATACGGAGAATCGATCGGAGAGACTGGTGGGGCAACGTCCAGAGGGGACCGGCTCGAGGCTCCAAGGACTCCCAACTTCGCGCATCGCGCTGCGCGAAGCGCGAAGTGCGAATATAACTTCGCGCTCTCACGCCGCCTCCCAGGGGAGAAGAGGAGGATGAGGAATGGGAGCCGAACCGCGAAGCGCGAGTAACTTCGCGCCCTCGAGGGCGCTCTCGAAGTTCCGGGACTGAGACTTCCGGGCGTTTCCGTTAATTACAGCTCGGGCGTATCTCTCCCGCCTCGGGACGCCCTCCAGCGGCTGCGCCTCGCCCGGAGTGCTCTGTGGGGGTGCCTGGGTCGTCCCGAACGGCCGCCAGAGGCCCCCGCTGTAACCTGGAAGCCACCAAGGACGGGCTCAGGGGGGGGGGACAGCAACCTGGCTTCGGCGATACATCGCCGATGGATCGGCGATAGGCCCCCAATAGAGAATCCCCACGCTCCTGGGGAGGGAGTGGGCTATCGGGCCCCCATCGGCGATGAATGGGCGTTTGGGGGTCGATGCATCCACCCATGAGCGGATCCCCCGCACTGATGTTGCCCCTGAAGAATGGGCGCGACCATGTCTCCTCATGTCCCGCTTCGCGCCGAACGACGCGAGATTGTCTCCGCTTTCGCCCGCTTTCTCTCGCCACTCTGGCCTCGCACCGCCAGATGCTTCACTCAAGGGTGGGCGTCAACCCAGCGCTACCCCATATTCCGCGGGGCGGAGGGGATGAGACAATGGAGGATGAGGGGCAGGGGCGGAGGGAATGAGACAAGGATGACACATCATAACAACAAGCTGCACAGATTTTCTCCATCGCCGCAAAAACTATGCAATTATAGCCCCCGCTCCGATTTCTGTACGGTATCCCCTTCCCATCATGGGGGCTGGAGACACCCCCGTTGAGGCGCGCATGGAGCACGGACATGGGCTCGTACCGCTCTGGAGCTTTAAATCGGCAGAGCTCGAGAACGACGCAAGGGCGATAGGCACAGAAAACAACAAGCTGCATAGACCCAAGCTTTCGGAGGTCCGCGCGGATTTCTTGGATCGGCGCCTCCATCGCCAACCCCTGGCGCCCTCCTCCTCCACGCAAGAGGACGACGATCGACGCGTATTTCCTGGAACGAATGATGACCAGGATTCCCAAGCGGACCCATCTGCTGCGAGGAGACCCTGCCCGAGCCCGACGAGACTGAAAGCGTCCGATCCGCCCTGGACGCCCGAAATGGGCACGGAAGCAATGGTCACAATGCCCAACAGCAAATGTTGTCCCGAACCAACAGCGGTCGCTGTTGGGCAGGCGGCCTTCTGTCTCAAACAGACACAGGCCGCGGCGACACCGACAGCGAGTCCTGTTCAGAATGAAGAAGAACTGCTGTTGGGCATTGTACTCTTTCTTTCCGTACCCATGTCGGTCGTCCCCGATCCTCCGGTTCTCCTCCTCCCCCTCCTTTCTCCCGCCATCTTTCCTCCATCCGTCCTCCACCCCGCCTGCCTATGATGAAATTAGCTCGGCCGTGCCGCACCACCACTCGCGTCTGCAGGCCACGCCGGGCGTGTGGCGTGAGAGCTCCTGCTCGCCATCGCTCGGACGTTCATTTCCCGTGCATTGTTCGGTTTCGTGCGTGTTTTGTTTTGCTCGATGGTCCAGGATCGTCCTCAGTGGTTCTCGCCGAGAAAAAGTGCACACGTCCGAGCGATGCCAGTCCCGACGACCTGCTACCCGCCAGCTGTGTACCACTTAACTTGCTCTTGCATGTGTGCATGGCGTGGAGGGAGGAGGGAGGAGGGAGGAGGAGGATGAGGAGAAGGAGGAGGAGGAGGAGGAGGAGGAGGAGGGAGGAGGAGGAGGAGGAGGAGGAGCAGGAGGCTACCCGCCAGCTCTGTACAGCTTAACCTGTTCCTGCATGTGTACACGGACTGATCCCACCGCAGCGCCGCTGCCACTCGTGGACGACCAATGTATCTCCAAATGCGTGAAGGAGCACCTGCTCCTCTGCTCTCTGCCCTCTGCTCCTCTGCTCCTCCTCCTCCTCCTCCTCCTCCTCCTCCTCCTCCTCCTCGTCCCCCCCCCTCCTCCCCCCCCCTCCTCCTCCTCCTCCTCCTCCTCCTCCTCCTCCTCCTCACCTTTCCAGCACATCCGAACACAGGACCAGTGGAAGATTGACAGTGTTTTCGGGAGCGGCGTTCGCCTGGGCGTCGCGCGCACTCGTCACATACGTTCCCAACGATTTCAACACTTGAGGTCGGTACGTTTTGGAAATGGAACTCTCGCATGACACGTCCTCATATTATAGGGCGCGCAATGCCAAATTCTGCAGCAACCGCACGGATGGCCACGTTGGGATTTCCTTGTGAACTCCCGCACATGATGGCCAGAACTTCGAACGTGCGCAAAAGTTACACGGCTGGACGGGATGGATGGCCGACCATTTTCAAAATGGGACCATCGCTGGCCAATTCCCGACACTCGACCGTCCTACATATCGGCCACCGTGCCTCGAGGCACGAAGTGGAGCTACCCCCAGGCTCTCTTGTGCACCCTTTTCTCTGTATTCACCGCTGGAGGATTCTAGTATTGTCGGAGGTGAGGGGGTGAGATCGAAGTGGAACGGGGAGCCCCCCTACCGGGAAATCGATTTCGGTTTCGTGTTCGTGCGTGCCGTGCGGGCGAGGCGAAGCTGCGTGGGCGGGCGAGAGAACGTCTCCTGTGGCTGAGGCGCGGCCGGACCAAATGATTCCCTTCCGGGCGGCCGGGGCCCCGCGGTGTCCCGCCGGTGTCCCGCTGGTGTCCCGTGTGGCTGAGGCGCGGCCGGACCAAATGATTCCCTTCCGGGCGGCCGGGGCCCCGCGGTGCCCCGCCGGTGTCCCGCTGGTGTCCCGTCGGTGTCCCGATTATGGTGATGATATTGATGATGATGATGATGGTGATGATGATGACGATGTTGATGTTTTGTTTTGATGATCGATAGTGGGATCGGTAGTGATATCGATTGTGAGATCGAACGTGAGATCGGATGTCAGATCGCTTGTGAGATCGATTGTGAGATCGATTGTGATACCGAATGTGAGATCGATCATGAGATCGATAGTGAGATCGATTGTGAGACCGCATGGGATATCGATTGTGAGATCGATTGTGATATCGATAGTGATATCGATAGTGAGACTGAATGTGAGATCGATTGTGGAATCTATTGTGAGATCGATAGTCAGATCGATTGTGAGATCGATCGATTGAGTTAGTAGTGAGATCACGATCGGTAATGAGATCGGTAGTGATTTCGATAGTGAGATCGATGATGAGACCGAATGTGAGATCGAGTGTGAGTTCGGTTGTGATATCGATAGTGAGATCGATAGTGAGATCGATAATGAGATCGAAAGTGAGTTCGATAGAGAGATCGATAGTGAGGCCGAATGCGAGATCGATTGTGAGATCGATTGTGATATCGATAGTGAGATCGATAGTGAGACCGAATGTGAGATCGATCATGAGATCGATAGTGAGATTGATAGTGAGATCGATAGTCAGATCGAATGCGAGATCGATTGTGATATCGATTGTGAGATCAATAGCGAGACCGAATGTGAGATCGATTGTGGGATCGATTGTGAGATTGATTGTGAGATCGATAGTCAGATCGTTTGTGAGATCTATCGATTGAGATCGATTGTGAGATCGGTAGTGAGTTCGATAGTGAGATCAATCGAGTGCGACGTTGGTCCCTCCCCCACCCCTCACCTCCTTATCACCCGAAGGGTGGTCTATGCGGTAAGGTTATGTCGGACGTGTCCCTCTACAAGGGGATTGTCGACGAAAAATGATACATGATCGACCCACGAACCCGGAAAGGAATATTGAAATGTAAGGCATTGCAACATTTCAAAGACACCTGATTGGGCGACGGGCACATGAAATGCTGAATGTATTGATGGTGATGCACTGTGCCGAGGGCTGTGCTGTGCTACGCCGTGCTGAACTGCGATGTGCCAGGCCGCGAGTGTGCTCTATATAGCGTTGTGGATCGAGTCCTCCCTGGCATCCGAGTCCTCACCGAACTGATCTGGATCGTAAGCTCGAGCTGCCTGCGCAGATGGTAGCTGCCCCAAAACTAGTCGACAGAAGAACCTGCCAGGAGGACGCGCCGCGGAACGTCCCAAGGGACGCGCCAGGCGACGTGCCAGGGGACGTGCCATGGGGACGCACCGCGGGACGTGCTAAGGGGACGCGCTACGGAACGTGCCAGTGGACGTGCCGAGGGACGTGCCAGGGGACGCGCCGCGCGACGTGCCAGATGGACTCGCCACGGAACGCGCCATGGAACGTGCCAAGGTGCATAGTTGAATGTATCGATCTTGATGTACCGTGCCGACGGCTGTGCTGTGCTGGGCCGTGCTGAACTGCGATGTGCCAGGCCGCGATTGTGCTCTATATAGCGTTGTGGATCGAGTCCTCCCTGGCATCCGAGTCCTCACCGAACTGATCTGGATCGTAAGCTCGAGCTGCCTGCGCTGATGGTAGCTGCCCCATAACTAATCGACAGAGGGAACATGCCAGGAGGACGCGCCGCGGAACGTCCCAAGGGACGCGCCAGGCGACGTGCCAGGGGACGTGCCATGGGGACGCACCGCGGGACGTGCCAAGGGGCTACGGAACGTGCCAATGGACGTGCACCGCGCGACGTGCCAGGGGGACTCGCCACGGGACGCTCCGCGGAACGTGCCAGGCAACATGCCAGGCTGCATTGCTAAGGGTATCGATCTTGATGTACCGTGCCGAGGGCTGTGCTGTGCCTGGACGACCTGGACACGTGAAAACACGTGTTTCGCTCAAGACGTTGTCAGCACATCCTCATGCTAGACATCCGCCTGGGCAACCTGGACAC